TGTATTAAACATAAAGGTATCTCCACTTAAAACAAAACTTGATAGTTTCCTGATGACCCAGTAAATAATGTTAACCACAGTGGGAATACCTCAATAGTGTTGTTCTCAAGCAAAACAAACTTAAAAGCCTTTAATGCAATAAGATAGAGCCCATCTATTGGACAAATGTTACTTAAAACAGTTTTATTTGCACAGTATGGTGCTTAGAATTTGCACTAAAATACAAGAAAAATAAGAGCATCTGTAATATCTACAACTAATGTAGTAATACTGCAATTTAATACTCATAATCATCTTTGTAATAAATCCAGTTCAGTTTCTGTTTACACTGATTTAACTGTGGTCATTCTGCAATTGCATTGTTTTAGACTGTATTATATTAAAATGTTGTTCTAATGTTTTGTTCACCATGGACTGAAAAAGTGGGGTAGTGCTTGCATCAGCTTCCACACAAATTAAAATGTGTGGAGACAATATAACTAGTGACACAATGACCATATTTTTTCCCTCAAATCCAATTCTTTTTTTCCCCTCTTTTCGTTTAAAATTGAACTGAATTTTTATGACTAGCTTTTATTTTTGACAACTACTAATTCAAGCTGTAGAGTTTTCACACCAAGTGTAAATGTTTGTATGTATTTTCTTCAATCAGAAGGCAAAAAGAAAGTTATGCACACAAACCTTTATCACTGAGTTTGACTGATATTTTTATATTTTACACTAAATAACAATAATAAATAACAATAACAGCCTAACAGACTCTCTGTGATCTTATTGATCTCGCCTTGTCACTGTATGTCCGAATTTCTCTCTTGCTTTAAAAGTGTCATGCAGTGTTTGTTGCTTCCGTGCAGCCTTTACCTGAGTTATCTGATTGTGTATTTTCCTCATTTGTACATCTTTTGCACAGATTACATTACTAAATTACTCTTATTTGATTTTTTTTTTTAGGGAATTTTGTTGCACTTGTATTGGTATGGTGAGTGTGCAGCTCTCCACCTCTCTCTGTCTCGCCTCCGACCAGGAGCTCAGCACTGCACGTGGTGTGTTACACTCAACATGTTCTTCTTCCTGTGGCATTTAACGGCAGACTAGTATATTTGTAGGCGTGTATGCAGTGCTGTCAGGTCAGGGAGCATTGAGTCCCTGTTACGTTCGGTATCTACGGTACGGTAGAAAAGTGAGTACCTTCACATTTAAAAAAGTTTGGTCTCAACTTGGTACAGAAGTATTGGTTCTTGTCACATGACTTATTCTGTCCTGTCGAGCTGAGTCATACTTGAAGCAGTTTGCGGAAAATCACAGATTATGGCCTTAGTTTTTTCTTTATCAGGTTGTTTAATTTGAAAGATTTTTGGGGAACTGATAATGTGAAAATATACAGTATATTGCATAATAAAAGAAAGCGTAAGAAAAGAATACTTAGAGCCTTTGATTCCCAGGTTAGTTCAATTAGAGTGCCTATTTAGCAGTGATGCAGCTTGAAAGCCAAGTCAGGTGTACATTAGGATAATGTCTTTGATTCTTAGTAAACCCTGAGATGACATATTGACGGTAGAAGAACATTAACATGACTGAACACTAAAACATCCCTTCACTCATCACTTCATGTATCAAATATGACCGACACATTTGTTATATATATGAAGCAGCATACACATATCCAGCATGGCCTACAGTACTGATGATTAAAGCTAATGATTGATTATACAACACAACAACAAGAAAAGCTCACACGCAGCTAGCAGACGTTCTGGACAGGCTCATTGAGAACACACACACACACACACACACACGCACACACACACACACACACACACACACACACACACAATACTGTTAGCGTTAAAATTGAGAAAAAAAGAGATAGTAATCACCCATCTGAGAACAGGACACACAGGATTAAGTCACACACTCCGTATCAAAGGCAAGCACATTGGTGGACTATGCACTCATTGTAATAAACCAGAAACTGTCAAACATGTATTAGTAGACTGCAGCAAATATGATCAAGAAAGGAAGGAATTGATATCAGTATTTGATGAGGGACACAATATTACATAAGACAGGCAGAAAGACAGTAAGTGTATTTGACTCACGTTTAGAAGTCGAAGTCTATTCCTCTCTGACAGTGGAGATGAAGCGGTGATTTCCATATCCTCAAGTCCCACTTCACTACTTGTGATGGTTCTTTAGTTTGTTTGTTCACAACTCATCTTCTCTTCATCACAACCTTTTATCTAAATGTTTTTAACTTCCTGCTGTTTCTTGTGAGGACAGAGTAAAACTTCTCCTCAGTTTCTTTCCCAGCAACTTGCTTTTGCTGTGGCACAACAATGACTGCTACTATTTTTGATACTTCCAATTTTCTAATTAACCTCACCTGGCATCCCCTCCATGTTGATTGTGAGGATGTTATTCCAACCACATGTTAATGGTCAGCAGTGGTTACAATCCAGGTGGGGCGCTGTTTCATTTATTTGATGAAACTCAATCAAACAAAATATGAAGTGTCTGTTATTTGAGAAAGGGAATTACTTTCTTAGAATTTTAAAAGTGACCCCTCTCCATAGGATATGTTTTAGACAAACCAGCATTGTGAAATTTCTATTTCAATCATATTTGTTTTACTTGTATAGTGTGCAGACACTTTTTGGGTGTTTTGTTGAAAGTTGAATTTGATAACAATGCAAGTGAGTGATACTGATCATGGTCAAAATGTACATGTACTTCACTTTGAACCACAACCAGATTAAGGCTACATCAAAACATTCCCTGACATTTTTATGCTGTAATAATCCCTCCAATGCTATTTGGGATCATTTGTCTACACACGAGTAGAGAAGATCCTGCTGACAAACTGCAGTCTCAGGCCCATCTCTGGATTCTGTCTAACAAAGAGTCATACAGGGGACAGAGATAACATGTTTTTTTCTCATCTGCATAAATCGAATTTCCATGTCAAAACCCACTTCTCACATCTTTCCTCACCAACAGGACCAACGTTTTTTATGCCTCTGGGTTTTAAATGCTACACTCCTACAGTCAAGTCACATTTTACTGCATCATGTTTATATATTCTGACATGACTGTATCATAGCATGTCTTTGTAGATAGCAGTTCTTGAGTGGCCACTGAGCAAGCTCTTGGCATGATAAAGATTTGTGCCCCAACCGGTCCTCCTATTTCATAACACAGCTTTTCTTTACACACTTAGTGAGGTGGTGGGCAGTATGCCACAGGGTGATAGAGGCACTTCAGATCAAATGTAAACTTTATCATGGATATCTAATTTCATACTTATTCCTGGTAATCCGGTGGGCTACAAAGTATTATCTTAATTAACTTTTGATGCAACTGCCTCTCCATCATCAAACTCCCCCTGGGCCTCCTAGTGGCAGCTCACATAAACCCAGCGATTAGAGCTCAGACTTAAAATTAGCAGGGATCTCAAAGGATCAGTGGTCCCTAGAGGTAATCACTTAATTTGTAAAATGTTACTATCCAACCAATATCAGTTTTGTCAGGCAAAAAAGGGACAATATTGTAGCTGTTGCTGAACTTTTAACCTAAGAGCTCTAAACTCAACTCTGAGTGAGTTGAGTTCATGCATCATGCATCTGATGCAGGTGGAGAGTAAATTCATGGCCTGGTTCCCTTAATGCACTGGCATCAGTTTAAGTTGGACATAATTTATAACCAGCAGGCATTGTTCTAAGCCAGATAGTGATCAGCACTGATTGGATCTTCTCAGGCCTGGCTCATCTCAAACAAGCCCAAAGATGCCACCAGTGGATTTCATTACTTTCTCCTCTTTGATTAAAGGCGTCCAAATCAGTGAAATCAGTTGCTATTGTCTTGTGGTCCTCTATGACACAGTTGCCTATTCTTAATTAAAGGTTCAGTCTGTGTTGATATTTTAAAGGGTAACTAAACCCCGGAAATTCTGCTAGCTTCCTCCCAACCAGCAAAAGTAAAAAAAAATGCAGCAAATGATGGCACGGGATAATCATAGGCGGTGTGACTTGTGGCTACTTAGTGTGTAGGGTAATACTGACCAGAGTGACCGACACACTACCACTCAGAGAAGCAGGAATACAGCTGCTGGTAATCAGAGCTAACCAAGCCATGAGCAGCTACTGTCAGCCTCTCCTTGTCTACATCGGGAACAAAGACGCTGGAGCTTTAACACCAGAAGCACTTCATGGATGTTGGTAAAAGTTTCCGTGTGGTACCTGTGTTGTAATGTTAAGCTAGCAGCTCAGGCAGATTTAATCTCCGATGTGTTTGTACGTCTATGGGGGAGTGACAGTACATCTATGTAGCAGGTCACAGTCTGCAGAGTCGAGACATTGCTTTTTATAGGAGCAGGGGTCGGTTGGTGACAAAAGCTGCCACCACATACGTCACCTGTCTCCAGATCAGCAAATAGCAAAATTGAACTGAAATAGCTGGGTTTCAACCAGTAGAGGGAGGTCGCTATGCATATTTATGGAACAATATGTAGAATTCAAGTACTTTGTTCTTAAATATCAAGACTTATACCTGAATCAATCAACAACACTACTAAACTACTAAAAATAACATTCTCCCTTAAGCTCCCTTAACAGGGTTGCAAAGCTTTTGGTTCAAGTCAAACTACTACGTTTTTGTTTCCTTTTATGGCAAAATGGGCTATAAGAATTCCCTATATTTTGAGTTTTAGAAGAAAGTGAACTAATCTCTGTGCAGCCTATTTGTTTTAGATTAGATTACATTTCAATGCAAAAGGGATATTGAGAAACGTACACATATTTTTCATAATAGTTCCTGCTACTGTACCTACCTTCCTGAATATGCTTTTTACTGCCAACAACATGAATGGTTTAAACATGAGAGCTTTTTTAAAATGTTTTATGAGTCAAAATAACAGACATGACAGGAAGCTGAAGTTGAATGTTACTGTGACACAAATGCATTAAACACTAAAAGACAAAGATATACAATGAAGAAGCAAGCTGTTAGTTTTTGGTTATGGGTCTTTATTGGCCTCCATGAACCATGTTTAAACAATGACAATAGCAAAAAGAAAAAGAAACAAATAAAACTAAAAAACCTTTAGGGCTCATGTCCACTGGCACCTCTTCTACCTGTAGCACATTCAACTGCTGCTCATGTGCACCTCCTTCTGTCACAACAACAACAACAACAACAACAACTGAACTCAGCTCTACTGCTTATGAGAATATGTATTTGTTTTTTAGCATTCTTTTTTTTTTTTTTTTTTTTTTTGATGTAGCAACTGTAGAGGTCCCATATTTTACTGCTTACTTTCTGGCTGAACTACTGCTGTGGATTGGCTTAATCCGAGAGGATGAAGACATGTGTTCTTTATTTCCACAATTAGAAGTTACTTGCATTAGTCTGAAAACAAGTTGGATTAGAGAGAGAATTAACGTGGTTCTAGGGTAGTATATTCACTTCACTCAAGTGTTATTGCAAGACAGGGTGTGACAGGGGACGTCTACAGTGGCTAATAATGTAAAACCATCCACTGAAAACAAGGAATCCTTGTTTTCTCTCGGAAAAAAAAGGCAGCACAACATGAACAGTTCCTCTGTCGACACAAAGCCAAAGTGTGTATAACAAGGCTTAGTGACAGCAACAACATTCTTGTCAGACATATGTTCATATGAAACTGTTTTGCATTAGTAACATGACTTTCGGGTCAAATGCAATGTCCTGTGCAGCATTATGTTGAATATTGAAAAATTCAACGTTGTTAGTATGAACTGAACACAGTGTATGATTAAACACCTCCCTTACCGCCACACCCTTGCATTTCCTTGAGCTATATGAACATCCTACTACTACCTGCATTGGCTTATAATTGACATAATTATAATAAACATAATTCTGTAGAACATGGATTGCCAGAAGATATGAGGAATCTATTTCCAGGCAGTGAAACAGCCTCTGCAAGGAAAATGGAAAATAAAAAACTTAAATAAAAACCAACTGTGCTCTTGTTTCTGCACCTAAAGTTATCTGGGTTCAAATCTCTCTGTTGGATGTTATTGGTGGAACCAAATTAGCATGAATTAATACAAAACTAGTTGCAACCAACTACTATCCTGGCCAGTCTGTAAAATTTCTGACAGTTGCAAAGATGATAAAGAAGCCAAACCTTTATGCTTTTAAAACAATTCCTCTTAGGAACTGTGCCAAAGTTTAGCAGTAGCTTAGTAAGCAATCAGTAAATTGCTGTCCTTCCACAAAGGCTACATACATACAGTAGATTTGTCTTTCTCTGGTATCAAATAAAAGCTGAAATGCCCCAAACATAATCTCTCAAAAATAACCTTGTATTTTTTTTGTGGAATTCCATACAATTTTAAAATTATACAACAGGTTGAATGGGTGTCACAGCCTGTAAAGTATGATTAAACTCACAGTTCTAGCATGTTAAAAGTCAAAAGGTTTTTCATCTGAGAGCAGTGCTACACTTCTACCTTAAGCGACTATCAATCTTGTACCTGTTAGACTGATCCTTTCAATCATAGCAGTCTTGTAGCTACATTACAGTAGGTGAGATACAGTAATATGTACGAGTCCAGAACATACAATATAGTCGCCATCATCAGTCAAAATATCTATTGCTTTGGTGGAGGCTGTGCAGCCCATATAGTTCCCCCATTTGGAGTCAGCTCAGGTATCTTTATCTATGTCTATCCAAGCTCTCTGTCCTTTCAATCTTCTATTCATACTGTTTCAGACTTGATGATTCATTAATTTGCATTTTTATTATGATTCTTGTTAAACAAATGAGTGAAAATAGAGATGTTTATACTAATCCAGATTCTGCCTTTGTTTTCTTTTGGACTAACCCAGCAACATTTGATTTGTTTGTTTTTTTCTGAAATGGATCTCTTGGACTCACCAACCTCAAGCAATTTTGAGTGTGATGCACGATGGATTACCTCCACATTTACATCTCGTTATGGAGGTAAACTGATTCCTACCCTGTACAAAGACAAGAACTCATTCAATACTTTAAACAAAGACAGGAACATCTTTAGAAAAAGAACCAATAAGATCACTTTCACATTGTGTTGGTAGATAGTATTGTGTACCATATTTGCACTGTAAAATGTACAAAATATCACCATGTTGTTGGCTAGTGACCTGCAATCTTATTCACAAGCACTTTGAAGCATGTTTATTTATCTACAACATACAGTGTACTTTGAAACAGTAACACATTTATAAATAAATATTGCAATCTTAACAATCTTACAGATCTCCTTTTTTATTGTCAGTTCTTCATGACTCGTCACCTGAGCTTAATGAAGGTGAGGCAACCTCTGCCTGTTCTGTCTCCGCCCTTTCACTTTGTGTGCTATCGTTCACCATCAGGTCTATTGGTCTCAATCTTTGCCCTTGACCCTTCTTTCAGTCCTCACCCTCTCAAATGTTAATTTAAATAAATAGTTTTCTAGGAGAAAAAAGAATCATATATTCTTAAAATCGTAATAAATCTCTGAAATAAAAAGCTACAATTAATATCTTCCCAAATGAGGGAAAATGTAACAAGGAAAAACATAATAAAAACATTCTATTTATAAAAAAGGACAAACAAAAGGAAAAAAATATATATAATTATGTTCAGCAAGAACAAACATGTTTCATGAACCCATATCTATTCGTGAGATATTCAAGAGTTTCACTCTTCACATTTTTCATTTGTATTGTAATGTCATTCAATATATCCTGTTAGCTCCACGTATAACACTGTAGGTACTCCGGTCTGTATTGTTGCCTACGTGGTTTCTGTTTTAAATAATCCTCATTAAGTGTTCGGTCAGGCTTTGCAAAGCCCAAGCAGCCTCCTTTTTATATGAGACACCTCAGTCGGTCCCCCTTTAGTTTACAGACAGTAATTCACAGTATTTCACTGTGTACTTTAGTTCACAAAATTCCTACTGTCCAATCAGTGACAAGGAGAGGGGCCAGGAGATGACAGGACTGGTTCTGAATACAGGGTGAAAGCCATCATTGGCTGGAAGGTTTTAGGAAACAGGAAGTAAGCCTCAAATATGGCTAATGTCCTTTCCTGTTTTAATTGTGCAAGATTAAATGCCTCTGTCTTGGATCCAAGGGAGAAACAGTCTTTCGTATGTCATTTTCCAACTCTTGACACATTTTGTTGTTGATGAAAGAAAAAGATTGCCCATATTCAGTGCTCAATGGCAACTACCACTGGTGCCTGACTTATAGTTGAGTACTTGGAATATATATATTTTTTACATGTTACATTTTACTTGTGAGAAATGCAAATGGGTCACATGATAGCATAAAAACAAACAGATTGTATCTTTGATGCAAACCTATTCTTCAGGAATCTTAATCAGTCATTTGTTATATAACCATTCAGCAGACTTGGCAGGTAACTGACAGGTTTGTATATTAAAACTAAATCTATCAATAGTCAATCAACGGCCAATGCTGACAATATACCATTTGAGTAAAAAACACTTCCTGCCATCCTCATTTAAATGTATAGTGGCTTAATAATGTTGTCCAATAACATACCCTGAATTTATTGTATAGCACAATGGTTTACTGGTATTCTGAAAATAAACATTCATAACCAATAGTGACTTTATAATTGATTTTTACACTAATATTTCTACAAAAATAATATAAAACAAACTCATAATGTTATTCGTTGTTTGCTACCATTGATTTCACTGTGAGCTAGTGATGAAAGTATGCTTTCCATAGCCTAAGGGGAGCTAAATGTAAGCATCCCCTACACTGTCTGTTCAATAATCTTTTAAACTCTTCGCCACAGTCCATGCTCCCTTCACTATTCTCATATTCCTCCCATTCTCGCTCCCTTCATCCATTGCAAAGGCATTACAGGTGAATTGTACTCATTGTCCATCCTCCCCCTCCTGCACTCATCCTCTGCCCCTTCATTTCTCAGTCTCTTTCCCCTCAGTCACAGATTGTCTTGTAGCCTCTCCATGTAGGTTCTGATTTCAGACTGACCCAGGTCCATATCCTGGCACACCCACTTGATGTCATCCTCGCTCCCATTGGTCACCAAGACTGAAGAGTTGGTGTATGGGCCACCACCACCCGAATTATCATTGGGCAGAACAGTGGCAAAAGACGTGAACTGGACACGTTTGCGTTTGGCGGCTGCAACTGCAGCTGCAGCTGTAGCTCGTGGGGAATTATTCAGATGCTCCACTTGGCCAGTGGCATTTTTGCCACCTGTAGTGATTGCTGAAAGGCACTGATGTGGTTCTGGAACAGATCTGGGCAAGGTCTGTCCATGGGTGATGCCTCGGTGTCCCCCTGTGCCACCACTCCCACTGATGGTGCCCATGCCTGTGCCCACGCCCATCACCAAGGTGTTACCAGCCCCATTCAGCAGGTACTTGTTCTCTTCGTATCCTCCTTCATTCCGGTCAATGATGGTGGTGCATTCATCAGGCAGGCCACCCTGGCATTGGTCAGAGTGGTCAGCTAAAAGGTCGGCCTCATTGCCAAGCCATACCCAGTCATGGGCGTGGTTCATGTTGCCTCCTGCTTCCAGCACGGGGACCTGCTTGTGACGGTATCTGCAGAGGAAGGACGATAATTAGTCTATGATTCAAGTACAATTTAGAAAAAAAGTGCAATTTCAGGCTATGCTACTCTTTTAATATTGACAATGGGCATCCCTTAGTAGTAATGTACAGGGTAAAAGACAGCACTGTAGAGACATTATTTAAAAAAAAACTTAAAATAGGCTAGCAGGTGATTGAGGGTCATCTACCCACCAAAGTAAAATGAGTGAAATTAAGTTAACCTGAAATAAACCTCAGGTTGTGTAAAATTACTTATCTAATCCCTATTTGGAAATAGCAATGCAATATAAATTTGGACCAGAAGGAAATTCAAATCAAACAGATCAATCAATCAACAATTTATTTTGGGCTTAAACAACAAACAATGGATTAACCAAATTTAGCCAAGAAACACATTGTCCGTCAATACCAGGTGCTTGGTGTCTTCAAGTTCATATAGACAACACCAATATTTTTTTATATGTTAATGAATGGAGGACTTTCATTTCAACTTACCTACAACCTTTTATTGCTGTGTTTCCTTCAAATAATGAGTCCTCAATTATAACAATATTTTACCTGAAAGCAAAGCTGACACAGTTGATGAGGAAGACCAGTATTGCCAGACAGAATACACCCAAAAGGGCATACATCCCAATCTCCAGGTCTGACAGTCCTCTAGTGGTCTGGGTCAGCTCACTATCCCCAGTGCCTGGTACCTCCACTTGTGCTGGATAGCTACCGTAGTCCCCTGCTTGGCTGGGACCACTGCCACGGCTGCTGCTGCTGCCTCCACTGGCTGGTTTTCCACCTGAAGCACGTTGGGTTACTGTGCTCTTGGTGGTTGTGCTAACCTGATTAATCAAAAAGAAGATAAATTAAGTTAAATAAATATTAACATTAATATTTCTTCATTGCTGAATTTCAACAGTTCACTACCTTTCGAAAGGTGATTTTTTTAGATTTTGTTCAAACAACCCGGTAATGGTGGAGCTAATTACTTCTTTTACTGACAATACTTTTATACACTCATCGCTCTCTCCCACCTTTCTCATGGCTCCTTCCTCTCGATCCACTGCTGCACTGTTAGACTTCCACTCTCCTCCATCCTTTGTTCGTTGTTCGCTGGTGCTGTTGTCCATCCCTCCTCCATCGTCTTGTCCACCTCTTCCCATCACACCTCTTTCTTCGCTCTTTGTTCCAAACTTCACTATCACATTGCCAACTCCAGATGCCAGCACACTCTTCCTTTTGGATTTCTGGCAGGTCTCAGAGATGACCATCTCTACACGAACCAGTGCCTGTCCATCGCCCTCTGCCACTACAATAGGCCAGTGTTGCTCCTAAAAGAAAATGGAGACAATATGAAGGTAAACAGACAGAGCAGTAAAATTTGGAGCTATTGTTGAACTTCCACGGTTTTTGTTTTCTGCCATCACACAGCTTCAAAATAGTAATCAGATAAAGAAAACTTTAAATGGCTAGTACCTGATTAGTTATGGAGATGACACTCTCATCCAATGACACGGCTGAGAGGAGGAAGTCTTTAGGATCATAGACATCAAGTGGTGTCACTGAACCGTCACTGTACTGGATCCATGCACTGATGGCTGCTTCCTGAAAGACAAGTAGAAGAGTGGTTACAGTACTGAAAATATATGTTTAATAATAAGTGTATTAACAGTGTTGTGTGCATACATGAAGAACCTCTGGTGGTCTTCTGAGACAGTAGTCTATGTACAGGTGATTGAACGCTATTTGATCTATTCCACTATGCAATCTCAGCTGCTTTCCATTTGAATGTTTCGTATAGTTTCTCAATGTGCCTCATGGACCAATCTCAGTAAATCAATGAATTTTTTTCAGCATTTAGTAACATCCTCTCAAATGCTCATGTGAGTAAACACACATTCATACTACAACTTCCGTCTTCCTTTGTTGGCTTCTGGGCGATTCCACGGTCATAGAAGTTACAATGAGGAATGATAAAGGAGCTCAAGGTCAAATTGTCAATTTTTAAATGGCTGTCATTTTGGTATGATGTTTGCTTCAGTTTATAGATCGATGGATTTGCTAATCGGTCTATGAAGTGTACGTGCAGGACGATGTCTTTAGCAAGAAAGCTCTGCTAAATCCAATTTATGCCGACTGCTCAGCATCAAAAGACAAAAAACTACCTGGTGAACATAGTGAAAAGAGTGAGATGTTTCTCTCTATAGTTAGTGGAGACCAAAACAGAGTGAATATTTGACTTACATTCTTCTTTCAACACTTTTGCTATAACTTATTTGTAAGGTGATAGTCTTTATGTCTTGTTCCATAACTACTGCAGGTTTAAATTTGTGGCGCTACATACAGGAGCTAAAATAGCCAAAAGGTTATTGGAAAATTCCTCCCTTTTAATTTTAAGAGCTTTATCATGCTGCACTATAGGGCCTGTTGCTCTTTTTTTAAACCTGCTTTAGTAAGAGTACATGAGGTAAAGATATTCATTGGAGCTGGCCTTGGCAGCTTGACATTGTGATATGTTTTCTGAATGATTCAGCTGTTTGGATCTCAAACACAAGATACATAGCAAGACATCTACACTCCCATCAATCCAACCACACACCCACCGCGCACACACACACACACACACACACACACACACACACACACACACACACACACACACACACACACTTGTAATGTATGACAAAACTTCTTCTTTTTCATGTCTCTTTCTCCAGTCTCCATCTCTTCCATCACAATGAGGACAAATACAATGAAGAAAAATGTTGTTTGTTGTCAACAATCGTCTTCCAACAGCAGCTATTCCATAAATAAAAACTGAGTTTAGCAGATAATGCATTCTCTGCTTGTCTTTAAGTGATCCTGCCTTACTAATTTCCCTTGATAAAACAATTTGCTTTCTTTAATCAGAACACTGAAACGATTGTGTAGGAATAATACAGCAAAAAACTCCCTACAAAAGTAATTAAGCTCCAATGTGAGAAACAACACTTCTATCTCGTTCCCTCTCTCTATTTTCACATTAAATTGTCATTTTCTTTGCATCCTCCACTCCCTTATTTTTCTCTATCTTTCCCACTCTTCTGTTTTTTTTTTTTTTTTTTGGGGGGGGTTTACCTTCTTTTCACCCTGACTCACTTTACCACTCCATAGTTGTATCATCTTTTTACAGGTGATGATAAATGATGTAGATAAAAACAGACAGATAGACAGATAGAAATTAATGCTTGAGTGAATGCAAGATCAGATCTATATTTTCATTGTAATGAGCTGCTTCTTGTCCAATTACCCCTTGGATAGAATTATTACATAGGGTCTGATAAAAAAACAGGGAAAAAAACAAGGAGAAGGGATTTATTTGTTTATTTATTTATTATTTCGATCTCAAGCAATAGCTTGAGATCGAGTGATAATAACCCTTGGCTATGTGATTAGAGAGTCAAGAATAGCTCATAACAAACATGGTAGCTATAGCAATACAGTATATTAGGATTGTTTTACTATAGACCTTTTCAGTGGTTGTAAATGTAGCTAAGTAGTGCTACAGTCTGGAAGTTATACAATCCTAATTAGAAACTGATTATGGGAGCGATAGCAGTAATATGATGTTCGCAGCACAGATTTACCGCTTGACTTCTATGATTACAACCTGGGGGTATTACTATTGAGATGGCAACAGTTTAAAGTGTCGGTCAATCAGTGTTTGTGTCTGTGAACGTGTGTGATACAAACTGAAGAGCATTGTCGATATGTTGATCACGTGTCTGCATTTGGAAATATGACAAATTCAGCCGTGGAAGGATATGACATGTTGCAGAGAGATGAGATATTTTAAATGGTGTGTGTTTGAGTGTGTGAATGTGTTTGTGTACCTTTAGTATCTCCTACCTGTTTAGGTGCGTGTAGCAGGTCTGTAGCTGTAGTTGTTAGCTGTATAGCTTGGTAATTTCCAGGACTTGCTGACATACTGAGGGAAAGAGATGCAACCAGCTGGACTCCCAGGTCTGTGATGGTCACCTAGCCAAACAAGATATACTGTTTGTCACTAGTAGACTGGTACTTGTACTTGTTTGTTCCCCTTTTATGGGCTAGGAAGGAGAATAAAGTGATTTTTTACAACAAGAAGATTCTCTTGTATAATGTTAAGAAAATAACTGTAAGTAAATAACTTTAGATTCAAGACCTTGGAAGTATGATTTCCTTAAACACTGTGAGAAAGTTAGGCAGTTAAGGCAGTAATATAGTACAGTGGCCAAATAAAATGAAGGCATAGAATGGTAAGCAATATTTAGACTTGACAATTCGAAGACATTATCAACATCAACATATAAGTCTTAAATTAGTCATAATGGATTAACTTACAAGGCTACCAAATCACAATACTTTTCTTATGCCTTTTTATACCATTGCCTGATACTGTATTGCTCAGTACACAACTAGGTTCCATGTCCACAAGGACTACCGTCATAAACATGTTTATTATTACATGCTGTGTGAGGCACTTTGGATGTTTTTTTCTTTCATTTTAGGCTATTATGCTCACTGTTGTCCCTTTATATAACCAGTGATCTGTAACATTTAGAACAAGCAAAATACATGCCAATAAAAGGGACCTACACCCCAGATACATAAAAAATAACAAAATGTTAATTTACCTTGTCATCCAACACGGTCACAGTCTTCTCTGCCAGGATAGAGTCAGACAGCGGGGACAGAACCTGCAATAAGATCAAACATGTTGTTAAAATTGTAATTAAGTTTAAACTCAAAAGAATCTACATTTCTCCCTGAAACGAATCTGAATTATTGGAGTTGCAGAACCTGCACAAAAGTACTTTTTACATTTCCTGCTTTATCACCAACTGTCTGGTAGGTCTTTCCAGGGACAAATCCTTAACAACACAGTTAGTGTTCTGTTTTTAGCAACTGCACAATCTAACTAAAAATACATCACATTACTGACAAGCTGGCTTTTTGACAGGTGATGGAATGACAGCATGTGTGTCAAAATGTTGAAAAATAATAACAATGGGAACTACAAGATATTGTGGCTCATGCTGCATCAAGTAATGTAAATTAGGAAGTGCAGGTGGTTAACTCTGGAAGACAGCATTTGAGAGAGCTTTTGTTGTTTTCATTATTGCCTTAAGGTGACATTGAAGTATTTAACACTGACAGAGGAGCAGTGAGAGCTAGTTAACACCACAATGCTTTGGCCACTTAGACTTGCAGTATATCTGTTAAAGTAAGGAAACCAAAACACACAAAACACTCACAGACAAACCAGACATGTAAAAGCTAACAGCTGACAATACTAGTATTGTCTGTGTAAAGAAACAGTGTGGCTGTTATTTCACATCTCTTACGCATATACATACATACATAAACACACACACACACACACTGCCTCCCAGCTGTGCTCCAATGTGTCAGCAACTAAGACAACTTAGCATGAACAAAACACAAGGCCAAAACCAAATAACTAAAAGAGAGTGAAAAGTCTGTAAGTGAGACACAACGAGCAAGCGAGAGAGAAATAAATGGAGTAGGTGTCAGAGAGAGAGAGACAATGATAAATAGAGGAGGACAGAAAGTGAGAGGGGGCAGAAAGAAGGAGCGCAAAAGAGATTGAGGTACAGATGGAGAGAGGGCACAGCAGACAGACAGTGATAGAGATTAGGAGCCCGTGTTGTAGTGTAGTACTCCGCCCGGCGACAGGAGGAAAGGCAGATCTGATTGGTGTACAAAGAAAATCTCTCAGCGATCGTGTTGGGGCGTCAAACTCAATCCCACCCTCAGCGAGGTAACAAAATGCAATGATTGACGGCTCTGGGATTGCTCTTCAAGACATACAAAGAATAAGAGGGCGAGAAAGAGAGAGACTGGGGGCGAGGAAGGAGAGAGACGGGGAGGAGAGGAAGAGGCGAGACTCGGGGAGACGGAGCTGGGGGGTAAAATTGAAATGTCAAACTATCAAATGACGGCTGTCGACTCTGGCATCTCAATGGGAATGCTGGGTAAATTCTCTCTCCTGGCTCCCAAACAGAGCACAGCTGTCTCTATGCGTGCATCTGTGTGTGTGTGTGTGTGTGTGTGTGCTGTGTATGTGTGCAGCGGTCCCCAGTCGGACGGATGCAAAGACACACTCAGCTGTTCCCACAAATCCCCATGATATCCCCCCACTGCTGCACTGAACTCAGTGCCAAACCACTTCTAACACATGCACAACACACTCTTCAGAGCTACAATCAAATGTAAGCACTTAGAATAAAAAAAATATAGTTTACATATTGTCACATGAAAGATGGAAATGTAACACAATAGGGTGGAAGATAACAAAAACTGTACTAACTTTTACTGTGATAAATTTGGTGGTTTTGCCTTGGCTCTGCTACATAACAGTATACAAGTAATGTAAGACAGTAAGCCACAGGACTGTCCTCCACTGTCACATTCATTCACAATGGACCGGCTTATTGGAATTCAGCAAGTGCATGAGTGTGTTCTGTGTGTAATTGCTGAACATCACACTGAGATGTCAGGGCCAAATCCGACAGCTAATTGTGGAAAATTGTGTAACGAACTAGCAGGCCAGGCTTACAGGAACAGGAGAGGAAGAAAGAGAGGATAATGTTTACATCACTGGAGCACATATGGGTACAATCTAAGTTACCAAATTACACTGCACTTAACATAATCATACATTTTCAACCATCTTTCTCTAGACTTGTTGTCCAACTGAGCTTCAGTTAGGAGACTAGGTTGTTTCGTGGTTTGTGACGATAATATCAACAAAATAATGTGAGAACAGACTGGATCCTATAGTGATCACAGTAGGAAAGACGGTATATACCTGTATAGTGGTGATCCCCAGGTCCCGTCCGATCAAGATTCGTCCATCTATCAGTCTGGCAATGCGAGGATCTTCTACCTGTGGAGCACAGAAACAGCTGTCAGCCACTACTACAGGTTTAATTAATTAGATTTTGTTAGGCTTTTGTGCATGTATTCTGCATTAGTACTATTTGTACTAATTGTTTTTGTTATTCGAAAGTCAAACATCAGGTAAAAGTAAAGAGTTAATACGTTAGCTTTAGTAGGGCTGGTATGCGCATTTTAAAACTTTGGAGAGATCCAAAGTCATCTCCCACTTAATTTCACAAAATGTTTCCTTTAGGTTAACACGTTGTATCTAGTATGTTTAATCTGTAATGCATAAATCCCTATAAACAGAAATGTAAAAACAACCATTTGTGTTTTAAAGGGAGTTAGGAGTTATTTACTGGGAAACAAACCCCAGGTAAAGTGATAAGTCATCATAGTGAGGTTGCCAGGCAACCAGCAGTGACACTGCAAGTATTAGGCTAAATGTGATGTTTGAAAATATATTGCATGTAACCTTTTCTAATAGCACAAATGGTCATTTCTACACTAATGTTTATGTACAGATTAAACAAATGAGATACAATGTGTCATTTTTGAGAAATCTGTTCCACCCTGCTCCCAGTCCTTCCTGCTAATCTAGGCTAATCACTGTCTACAAGCACAGTCTCTAGCTATTAATGCACAGACATGAAAGTGGTATTGATCATTTCATTTACAGTAACTCTTGGAAAGCAAATTAGTATATTTCCCAAAATGTTTAGCTATTTCTTCAAGAAATATTTGGTGTATGTGTGAGTATATATGTAAGTACTTGTGTATACCTACCTTTAGCTGGTCCAAGACCAAATGAGTGATATCAGCCTGCCAGTCCGATCCTAACATGTAGACCATCTCTCCTCCTGGGTCAGAGGGTTCTGCGACAAAATGGGTGAGGACCCGCACCAAGGCGTACTGATACTGAAAGGTCAAGAGAAAATTCAAATTCGATAGAAAAATAAATATAAAACTAGTGGACAATAATACTGTGCAGCATTTTAGAACAACAGAAGCAAACCATTAGGCTACATACAGTAAGTCACAATTTATTCTCAGTATGTAGTACCTTTCACCCTTTTAGGGATATTGACATTGAAGAAAAGGATTAAAGAGCTCTCTTTAAAAGTGTGATATGCAAACCAATCAAATAATACCTGTAGGGTGCAGCCTTTGCCCTTCCTCTCATCATCCTCATCATCTTCACTGTCTCTTGTAGGTCTGGAAGGAAAGGAGATAAATGAGAGAGAAAAAGAGGAGAAAGCGGTGAGATTATCTGTTAATTAAAAGACATTTTTATACACTACACTCAGCTCCAGGAAATCTACTGTATAATCTCTGCTCCAGGTTACACTCTCAGTCAAATACAAGCCTCTTTAGGTTTTAATCCAGCTGTAACACTTTAAAAACACTTTGTGCAATCTGGATTTCCTGAAATGCCAGGGAGAACAAATTATTTCAAATGTAACTGGTCTTGTGCTCCATTATTTCATGATACTGTCCGCAGGTGAATTTTTATTAAAACAGTATGCAAAAACAATTGTAACTTCTCTTGAAAAAGCATTGATCAATTGTGAATGGAGTTTACTGATCTATCAAATAGCTGCATCTGTAAGGCACACATTACACACATTACAAAACATGTAACTGTTCAAGTGTTCATTATATTCAAAACAACTTTCAGGGCAAAAAGTTGTAATATGTGCATAATGTGTTAAGAGATTTTTAAACAGCTGTTCTTGATGGTTGCACTGGCAAAGAAGGGTGTTGATAAAAAGATGTTGGTTTAAATGAACCCAAATCTCCAACCAGCACAACAAACTAGACAGGTGGCCCAGGAGGAGAGTGACTTACCCACGGCAGCACACATTCTTCTTCAGTTTTTGTTAAGTTAAGTTTTTAATAATAACTATTAATAAGGATTACAACCAACCGTAAAGAAAGTTTCAGTGCTGATTTGTTGACGGGTTGAGAGTTGAGCTGTGTTTTCTATCACCATTCTCAAATGTTTTGAATCATATCTGTAAAACCTAAACCTAAAAACATCCTTCCAAATGTTGTGAATTTGAAATGCTGTATGGAGTCCCACAGGGATCAATTCTTTGACTGCACCTGTTTAATCTTTACATTTTTCTGCTTGGGTCTATCATCAGCAAACAAAAATTCAGTTGTAATCACTATACAGATGACAAACAATTCCATATTTAATGGTGTCCTGATGATAATAGGCACTGTGAATGCCACAATGAATGCTATCAATCTATAGATATATAACAAGGGAAAACAAATTAAATTCTAAATTTTACACATAGTGTAGCCTTTTCTTAGACTTTAGATTTTGTGTTTGTATCCGTCCGGGATATATTTCAAATTGTTTTATCACTCTGTAAAGCTGCACTCTGCAAATAACTTGACTTTGATCTAGTCCTTGTTATGGGAATAACCTTTAATGAGTTTATTCCACTACTTGCTTGCATGAATGTTTAGTATATAATATTATTTAGTATTTTAAATGACACAAGCAACACTTCTGAACCAGTTCCTGACTAGAAACATCACAAACTGAAAGACAGTACCCACCCAAGCCACAGCCTGTTCACCCTGCTGTCATCTGGAAAGAGGTACAGAAGCTTCCGCTGCCATACCACCAGACTTAAGAACAGCTTCTACCCTCAGGCTGTTAATTCAGCACTCCATTATGTAAAAAATTTTTTATTTTTTTTTATTTTTATGACTTATTTATACTTTTACTGTATATAATTCTGTTTTTAATGAGTAGCATAAAGGGGATTTCATTATACAGCTCTGAGTTGTAAAATGACAACTAAATAACCTTGTATTCTTGTATATCATACTTCTTTGTAACATACTTCTTTGCTGTAAACTAAAATTTATAGTAAAAAAAAGTGCAGAAACAATCTGTATCTGAATTCATCTGTACATGTCACTTCTGTGGTATTGTTAGGCCATGGTATAATTCTGCAGCTGAGGATGCTGAATAATCATCCCTGAATAAAGAAATAAAACGAATCTGAGAATGCTTTGAATGCACTATCAGTGTTTAAACAGAAAACCTCTCTCCCTCGCTCCCTAGTGGAGGATCTCTTTTTCTCTCTCATACACAGACACACAAAGAAACACACATTCTCTCTTCTTTGCCTCCCTCTGTGTAATATCTACACAATACCACATGCAGGCAGGCCCATTCTGGATCATACATTCACATAAACACTAACACACACACACACACACACACACACACACACACACACACACACACACACACACACACACACACACAACAGGACTACCTCTGTGTCCTTTAACTGTCCCTGAGTGAGAAACCCAGGTAATATTACAGGAATTCTCTTTTCTCCATTTTCCAGTGTCCCAATCGCACATGTGTCTGTGTGAGAGTGTGTGCCTAATAGTGCTTGTGTCTCACTCTGTGAGGTAGTGGTTAGGGTGTGTGTGTTTGTGTCTCTGTGTGCACACGGGTTGGTGGCTATCTGAGCAGAAATTGGCGAAATTGAAAAATAGGCCTGGCAGAACAGAATGGAAGGGCAGCAAGGTGGGGAATAGAAGCAACGCATACACACACAAATGACCATGCACACACATTCATGCATGCCCACATACACATGCACATACAAATGCACAATCAAACATAGAGGCAAAGCAAAAAGACATATAGAGCATTAGGAATAGGTTTTTTTGTAACCTGAGAAAGAAAGGACACAGCTGATTTTAAACTGAGTGTGTTACACGTTTGTAAGCGTATGCTGTTTCCCCATAGCGACTCTGAATTTGAGTTCAAGAAGAAAGTTGGAAGCAGTGAATCTAAATGTGGCAACTCCTTGCTTACACATCCCATCTCTATATTGAAGCTAGAGTTTCTTTCTTATATAAAGCATTTTTATTTTAGCATGAGCACAGCATGGTTGAGGTGCATAGTATATGTCATAGCTCTATCCTCAGAGGCAATACACAAAATATTGGATCTCATTCAGTTGAAAGACTTGATTAAACATAATAGAATATGTAAGCACAAAATAGAAGAAAAATCCTCTAAATTTTGTATTCTATTAATTGAAAATCTGGATTCAGACCTGCCTCAAAATACGCAGTGAGAGACAATCACAGGTGTACCAATTGTTTTTTTAATTCAAGTAAAGTGGCTATAATCTCAGTTTATAGTGTTGTAAGACATCCTTTAAAACCTTGTCCTTGACTCATAGTCTGAATTTCCACCAAATTCCATAATTTAGAGATTCTCTGTTAACAGATGAACAGAAACAAAGCAGACCAAAAACATACCCTGTGCAGGAGGTAAGATTAAGTGGCAAAATAAACAGAAGAGGAAATTTAAAGAATTGTGAGAAAGAAATATTTAATGTTTTAGTAAGGAGTTGGTTTGGAAAAAGTAAAGTATTACAATAATTAGTTTCTCCTATATATTCATTTGAGATTTTTCATTTTAACTGCGGGGTAGGTGTAATGCCCTGCAGGTATTTCTACAGTTTATATGCTACAGCATGAGTTTATATTCTGTCTATATTCCCTAATTGTCTATACATTGTTATGCCTTCTTGTCCTTCCTTCTTTCACATTGCAGACACACAAAAAGCTGGACAAAAAAAGTGGATAAGAATGCGCATGCACACATACACAACTATATGGGAAACAAACTGACACTAGCTGATCCACCCATTTGCACTGTCTACCTTTTGAGAAGGTATAAGGGTGTGTGTGTGAAAGTGACTGAATGCTTCATTCAGTGGCAATGATGGTAAAGCTATAATAGTTGTCATCAGTACAGCCAGGCAGGCCTTGACCTCACAGGAAATCATAGACTCTCTGGAACGATATGTGCTCTCAACTGCTCCGTTCAATAAGCACTATATCACACACACACACACACACACACACACACACACACACACACACACACACACACACACACACACACACACACAAGCACCTACACACAAAGACAGGGAAACACACACACAAAATCCAAAAGACACACATTCTCGTTTACATTCACACACTGCCTCGGTTTATTCTTTTTTCTATCCCAGTCGCAGCGAAACACACAGAAATCTTACAATTAACCACAAAACAAATCAGATACAGCAATGACTCATACAATCTCTTTCTTGTCTCTTTTTCTTCACATGCTGAAACTCTGTACTTTTTGTTGAAGAAACAATGTCTACCTTTTCTGCTGTTTCTGCTCTCATACAAACTTTGGCAAAGTACTACCACAATTTGCTACATTACAGCTAAATGTTTAGCATATTATGCTCATGTGTGGGTTTGGCTCATTTAGTAATGATGACTGATTAACTTCTTCCAGATAGATTAATAATGGTGTATATATTTGCTAATAAGTAAAATAAGATAATTTTGAAACAGCACAAAGGAGAAACTACGGTGGCTGTGAAACGCACAAAAACGAGTCCCTATCTAGAGCCAATGTTTAGTTTGTCCCATCTGGGCTTCTGTAGAAACATGGCAGTTCAACACGGACTCCATGGAAGGCAACCTGCAATATCTGTAGATAAGGCTCATTCTAAGGTAACAACAACAGTTCCTATATTCAGGTGATTATACACTCATGAAAACATATTCCATTTCTGCTAATAGAGCCTCCTTAATGTTACACACTGGACCTTTAATGATCAGAAACACATAACAAATGTTATAAAAAAAAAGTATTATCAGTATTATGTTATTATAAAGTGGTATTGATATTGGGCTCTATTGTAGACCAGTTGGTTGGTTAAATAGGAGCTGGAGATGATACAAGAAGATCATCCCTCACTGTCCTCTAACCCTAGAACAACATATATATTGACAGCAAACTTTCATATTTGTGCCACCTGGTTTGATATATGTAGCTATTATATTATCTTTCTTCTAAAAAGCAATCAGAAAAGGTGCCAGGGAAATGGAGGACAGGCAATAGCACAATTGTTTTTTACAAAATGTCAGTTTTATGTAAAATGCAAACTGATACTAATGCTTACGCCCACTATGTTTCCCTCACTTGTTCCCTTAAGATTATGCAGGTAATTCACCTCTTGTTAGTGATAATTGGTACCCTCCAGCCTTTAACCTGGCTCAGCTCAGTATCTGACACGTCTATCTGCAGAGGTAGCTTGGGCACCCAGACGGTGAGCTGCAGCTGAGCAGAAAGGTGCAGGTAGGTGAAGTTGACTGCCAAAGACTGACGACCACGCATTTCTTTACCGTTCACCAACACCTGGTCACAGTTTGGGGAAACCTGAAAGGAGGAAAAGAGCAGAGGAGAAGGCAGTTAGTTGGGCACAGTGTGCATGCAGAGTGTGACATTTCTAACTGACCTCAAACAGACTTAATGCAGTCACTTCCACAGAAACAGATGCAGTCTCTGTTGTGCATTCCTTAAGCACAGCCTGGAGCGAGTTTTCATCAGAACATTCATGTTCTTGTAGCAAATAATAATTTTGTCACTGATTACTTACATTTTTATTCATATTACAAAGCTCTTTGGAACACGGTTTTGCTAAGTGCCCTATAAAGAAAGGTTAATAATATGCTTCTGTAGCTTCTTCCTGCCACGTTGGTGGCATTTGGGGTTTCTGAATACCCAGGGAGCTCTTGTCACCTCCACCAATCTGAAGCAAAGTACTAAATAACTAACATTCTAAAACCAGTAAATCACATTAATTGTAATACATTAGCATAATTACTTTGAACAAATAAGTCCACTTATGAGAATACTGGTAACCTTTGCACTGCATTTTAAATTGTGTACCAACGGATCTAGGGTGAGATCTGTTCTGAAATATGAAGAGGGCTAGGGGGCAAAAAGGAACGTTCTCTCTGTGAGAGGAATTATGAAAAATGTTGTCTAAAATTTGACAACACTGATATAAGTTAGTCATCTAAACTAATGGTCCCCAACCTTTTTCCTTAAGGGACCCTTTTTCTATCATTGAGTAAACCCCTAACGAAAGTGTCATATTTTATGGACATTTCATGTTACATTCAATGCATAACAATAACGGTACAGAACAACTGATAAACTGTACAATGAACCCACATAGTGAACATAAAAATTTGAGAAGTTTTGTGTAAAACAAAAGATTTGGATGAATTTTGAGAAGATGATTTCCCGTGAATATTGATGAAAAATGTGTTTTCCTGATATTTTTAGTAACTTTTTATAAATGAGGATGAGGCAGTTTTTTTTTTTTTTAGAGATTGAGGCTCTGTGCATACAGATAACAAAGCTTGAGTTCAGGTCTTTAAAGTTTAAATTTCACAGAAATAAATGAAATATTCAAAAATAGGCCTTAAAACCCCTTACAATAAAGAAAGACTTGTGACTTTTAGTTATACCATTCGTCATTAATCAAGTCCACAGTCCTCACACAACGGCAACTATACACTATAGTGTCACAGGAGGAATAGAGCATTTTTTATGGCTCTGAACTGCTCCATCTGTCCTGCTGAGGCATGCCTATCAAAAAGTTAGTTTGGATCATATGGCCATTTAATTTGGTCTAACTTTATCAATTATGGGCTTCGTGTATTTATACAGCCATATTTATTACATCAAACAGGCAGCTCAGCCAAAGAGGGCTGTTACTCATACCACACTCAACTCATCTACACTCTAAAAGGTACATTTTTGTTCTCCTTTCTGATCTGAGTAGTTCTTCTGCCACTGTTTGTCTTAAACAGCAGTTCCCCCTCAGTCAGTTAAAGTTTGATACATAACGTATCTAATACTGCCACTGTAACACTACCCTAAAATGATTTAGAGATACAGTCTTGTTGTGTTTGTCAGACACAACAATAATTAATTGAATTCATTCAAACAAACCATAGACTTCTTCAATCTGTTTAAGTATAAAATCATCCTATGTTTTCCTCTTTTAATAGACAGTCAAGTCTGCGGAAAATGTATTATTTATCAATCTAACTGAATTCTCTAACTTGTCCATAAAAGCACCATTACATGTTTTCTGTTTCCATAATTATGGAAATGCAGATATAATAGTTTTAGACAGTATTATTCAAATTAAATTGAAACTGAAGAGCAAAAAATGAATGTAGACACTGGATTATTATGGTTGTATTTCAGAAAGTTGACAGTACCTTTACAGACAGTGTGACAGGCAGAACAATGGAAAAGCCAGGATTTTAGGGAGTTTCATTTTCACCCTGCCTGCTTGTCTGACTGTGTGACTGATTGAAATGACATTTTTTGGACAAATCATCCCTCGTGTTTTACCAACAATGGATTCATGCAAGAAGGAAGCTTATCATAAACCAATGTAGGCATATTGTTATGGTCTCCCATGTTTTTGAGGTAGCTATACTCTATATATAGAGTATTGTATATAAGATTTATATATTATTCTGGGCCTGTGTAATAATATTACAACAAATGTATAATCTACTGCAACCAAATAGTACATAGAGTAAACAAAATTCTCTATTTACAGCAAAAAAAATGTTTCCCCCAAAATATATCTTAGGCATAGCCAAAGAGCTATCCCTTTAGCCAAAGAACAACAAGCATGCAAAAAACTTATCATTTCTGCAATTTGTGTACACAACTTTTCACTTTTTAATGTCAGTTTAATTTTAATTTCTACGTGTTTAAAAATATACTTTTACTTAAAAACTAAAAGAATACTAACTTAAATCACTCTATACAAGCTCTATAATATGTTTAATCATATCAACTGCTGCAAAACCGTGTTGAATATATTTACTGTCATTCTGTTTCTCTCTATGTCCCACCCCTCATTATTTCTGATTCTTTTTTTATTTATAGCCATTCACCTATCATAATTTATCTCCCCCTCTTTCTTTACCCTACACTTATCCTCCCTGCTCCCCCACTCAGTTTATTTCCTTTTTTATCTCTCACACCCTCTTTCATCTCTCCACGCTACACTTATCCTGCACACCTCATTCTTCCTCCCTACCCTGTCCTATTTTACTCAGCCTTACATTTAACATGCACTCCTTTTGTCTGACTTTCTCTGTCTTTCTGTCTCACTCTCTCATTTTTAAATTTTAAATTTCCTTCCTCTCAGTCCCGCTTCATTGCTCTTTTTTAAAAATGTATATATGTATTTTTAATATTGATTTACTGGGGTAGACTTCTCTAGTGTGTATGCTCTTTTGCAGCAACACCCTGTTTCATATTTATCCAGTCATACACATTTGTACCTGGCTGCTGACTAGACAGGATACTTGAATATTGTGGAAAACCATAGAATTTGGGAATTTCTTGATCACTTTCCAAAGTTCAAATTTTCCATGAGGAATTCACTCTTTTGTCTCAGTCTTTTTTATGGGTCTGAATTTTTTTTGGAACCTTAAACCATGTCATATCTTTGTATTTGTATTTTTCTGTACAAACTTTGTATTTTTTTCTGCGAATTTGTTTTTTTTTAGCAACCTGGGGGGGAGTAACATGTTACAGTGTGGAAAACTATAATACGTTGGGTATTTATAGTCAGATTCCAGTATTTCGAGATTAGTAGATTATTTTTACTCTGCAGCTCTACTCAGCCGTAGCCTCTTTTATGTGATTGTTCTCTAGCCTGTGCTGTATCTGTATGTACCACTCTTACATCCCCTGAAGACAGCGCTAGATAATTTTCTCAGGACTTAATGGAAATGAAAACAGAAAGGACATTGAATATTGGACTCATGTCACTGTGCGGACCCTTATTTATGTCTAAAATTGGCTTTAAGTTCTGCTTTAAAATGTTTGCTTAGTTAGAATTTATTCTAATAACAACCTGATAAGCCTGGCCTGTGTTTCTTTCTGCCCCCTAGTTTTAAAGATTCGCCTACGTAAAATGACAAAACACACATTAAATGTTGTTTCTTTTTCACAGCTACTATGATGTAAGTATTAGAAATTTTAATATACGCTAATATATGTAAACCATTTATTTGGCCTTGGTGTCATTCCACGATACACACACTGCAGCCAAATCCTTATTGCTCCTTTGCTGCTCAACAAGAGTGATGCTAACTTGCCAGCTAGCATAAGCTAATGTTTTTGGTGTTTGGTTATTGTTATATAGCTATTCATGAAGAGTAAAACAGAAGTTATGATTCTGGTTGATTCTTGTTGGACTCGAGCTCAGGACAACATTCCCCCTCTCACTGATAAACACAAACAAGCACACACAGGGCCAACACACGGTTTGTGTGGTGTGACATTTTTTTGGCTTTCTTCGAAAACTCTTTGATCTCAGAGCTAAACCGTTTCCTCTCTATTCAATTCAATTCAATTCAATTTTATTTGTATAGCGCCAATTCATAACAGAAGTTATCTCAGGACACTTTTCAAATAGAGCAGGTCTAGACCGAACCTTTAACATTAATTACAGAGACCCAACAGTACCACCAGAGCAAGCACGGCGACAAGGGCAAGGAAAAACGCCTGTTAAAAGGCAGAAACCTAGGACAGATCCTCCGGCTCAGGTGGGTGGTCGTCTGTCTCGACCAGTTGGGGGAGAGAGAGAGAGAGAGAGAGAGAGAGGGGGGCGACAGACAGACAGACAGGTGCACAGCAACAACAGTATGGCAATGGCAGTCAAGCAGGACCATGGCAGGAGGCTCCACCAGGATCCATGAGAACCGCAGACAGAGCACAAGAACTCCGGGGAAGAAGTGGAGTTAGTAACATGCATTAAAGGTACATGAATGAGTGCAGAAGAGAGAGGAAGAGAGTAGCTCAGTGCACCATGGGAAATCCCCGATAGTCTAGGCCTATAGCAGCATAACTAAGGGATGGTTCAGGACTCACCGATCCAGCCCTAACTATAAGCTTATCAAAGAGGAATGTCTAAGCCTACTCTGAAAGTGGTGAGGGTGTCTGCCTCCCGAACCACAACTGAAGCCGGTTCCACAGGAGAGGACTTGGTAACTGAAGGCTCTGGCTCCTGTTCTACTTTAGAGACTATAGGAACCACAAGTAGCCCAGCATTCAGAGAACGTAGTGTTCTAGTGGGGTAATAGGGTACTATGAGCTCTTTAAGATAGAAGGGGCCTGACCAGAAGAGCTTTATAGGTGAGGAGGAGTATTTTAAATTCAATTCTACATTTTATAGGGAGCCAATGCAGAGTAGCTAGTACAGGAGAGATGTGATCTCTTTTTCTAGTTCCTGTCAGTACTCGTGCTGCAGCGTTCTGAATTAATTGGAGCGTTTTAATGGACTTATTGGGGCAACCTGATAATAAAGAGTTGCAGTAATCCAGCCT